CATGGGAGAACCATCAGCCAGCTCTGAGGGAGGAAAGCTTAACCTTTATTTCGCAGATCTGCTAGTCCAGGGCGTTCCGGATCCAAAGCCTGAACTGAACTATGGGGAGGCTCTGGCCTCTATATCTCCTCCTGTGGCAGGTCCCTGAGGGTCTCCGAAGCTCTGCCCAAGTCAGCTGTGGCAGGGCCTGGGGTTAGGCTCTGCAGGTCCCCCCAAGTCAGTCAGAGGGGAAGTAAGACTACAGTTTTAACCAGATACTGAACTAGGTTGAAAGCCCGCCCCCCCCCCCCCCCCCGCCATTTTCCTTTTTATTCCTCCCTCTTGTTCCACAAGCTATTCTTAGCCTTGAGGATTACAAAAGACTCAGGAATTGGGGATAAGGTCGATGACCGCTCTAGCTACTTCCTGCTGAAGGGGGGAGCGATGAATAAAAGGGGGGTTCAGTATCCCGAGTCTTCCCCACCTTCCCCAAGGGGGTCTTTGGAATAGCAAGGGCAGAGAAGTTCTCCTCCCAATACCAGTCTGGGGTTCCGGGGACACTTCTATGAAGACAGAATAAAACTGTTAGAAAACCAAAACAAAAACATTAACTATCCAGATAGGAGGGAATAAGGAGATTCAGGTCGGTCAGCTGGGTCCACTGTCTTCTAGACGATGATCTGCAGGGGGTGGTTCAGGTCAGAGGTCACCTTCCACTCTGGATGCTGACTGTCCAGCTTGTGGGCTGCTTTTACCTGGGAGTGGTGGATCCAGGTGCTCAGTCCTGCAACTTTGAGAGCTGAGGGCGTGGTTAGTACGACTGGATAAGGTCCCTTCCAGGTTGGCTTAAGGGGTTCCTTTTTCCAACCTTTTACCCAAAACTGGTCCCCAGGCTTGTGAGGGTGCACAGCTGTTCCTAGAAAGATGGGCAATCGATCAGTAACCCATCTGTGGACTTTAAGGATACTTTTCCCAAGTCCTTGTAGCTGTTTCTGAATTTCTAAGTTCCCTATTTTCCCCAAATCTCCCTTTGGCCAAATTAAGGGAGTGGGTCTGCCACATAGAATTTCAAATAGAGAGAACCCTACCCTGGCTCTTGGGCACAGCCCTCCCACAGGAGCACAAGTGGTAAGATATCTGTCCAGGGTAAGTTCATCTCCTGGCTTAGCTTAGCCATAGCCTGCTTGAGAGTCCAGTTCATGAGTTCTACTTTCCCTGAGCTCTGGGGCCTGTAGGCTGCATGTAAGTTCCACTTAATTCTAAGGCCTTAGCTACCTGCTGTACTGCCTCAGTCACACAGGCTGGGCCATTATCTGACCCTATGGTTAATGGCATTCCAGACGCGGAATTATGTCCTTCAGTAATGCCTTAGTGGCTTCTCTCGCCTTCTCCGTGCAGGTAGGGTATGCCTCAACCCAGCCTGAAAAGGTGTAGACAAAAATTAAAAGATATTTATTTCCTCTACTAGGCCCTATTTCTGTAAAGCCTACCTCTAGATCTTCAAAGGAAGCCTGCCCACAGCGCTGAATTCCTATCGGTTCTACAGGACCTTGCCTTGCATTGTTCTGTGCACAGAGGCGGCAGTGCTGAGAGACTGAGGCGCAAAAGGAGGGGAGATGGGCAATTAGATAGTATCTGCTTAACAAGGCTTTTAGAACCATTTTCCCTAAATGGATAAATTATGCTGCGGCAGGACTACTCTACGAGCTAACTGTTCTGGAACGTAGACCCTACGACCTGGAAGTATCCACCAACCTTCCTCCGTCCTTTTACCTCCTTCTCATTGGGCCCATCTTCTTCTTGAGGGGTGTATTTCGGAGGTTCAGGTAATTCAGGAACCAGCATGATCCTCGATGGCGCCGCCCGCTCCTTAGCAGGTAGCCTTGCCGCTGCATCTGGGTGACGGTTCCCTTCTGAGGGCGAGTCTTTTCCTTTTTGGTGTCCTCTACAGTGGGTGACTGCTACTTCCTTGGGCTCCCAGAGTGCTTCTAGTAACTCAAGATCTCATTCTGATTTTTGATTCCTTTTCCTCCGGCTGTCAGGAGCCCCCTTTCCTTGCATATGGCCCCACGGATACGAGGGAGTGAAGGAATAGCGCGAGTCAGTGTAGATGTTAGTGCACTTATCCTTATGGAGCTTTAAGGCTCTGACTAGGGCCCAAAGTTCTGTCCTCCGCACTGACCATCCTTCAGGCAGGGCCTGTGCCTCTGTTATCTCAAAGTTTGATACCACTGCCTATCTGGCTCGTCTTTTCCCTTCACCTGGGAAGCTACTGCCGCCCGTGAACAATACTAAGTCCAGATTCTGTAGAGGCCGGTCTGTTAGATCGGCCGGCTGGAGTAGACCTCCCCTAGGACTTCCAGACAATCATGCTCAGGGCTCCCTCTGCGATGGGTAGGAAAGTGGCAGGATTAAGAGTTCTTACTGCCTCTAATCTTATTCGTGGATTTTCACATAGGAGCCTTTGGTATTGAGTCATCCGAGCATGAGTCAGCCAGTGCTGCCCCTTAGCTTCCATGGGGTGACAACAGCATGAGGCACTTAGACATTTAAGTTCTGTCCCAGAGTGAGCTTGTCTGCCTTTTTGACGAATAAGGCTGTGGCTGTAAGGGCCCTGAGGCATGGGGGCCACCCAGCAACCGGGTCAATCTGTTTGGAGAGGTAGGCTACTGGCTTCTGCCAAGGTCCCAACTGCTGAGTCAGAACTCCTAGGGCTGCCCCGTTGGAAAGTCCGGCGTCACATCTGGGAGCCCCAGGGCCTGCGCCTCAGTGAGCTTTGCCTTTATGGTCGTGAAGGCTTTTTCCTGGTCAGGACCTCAGTTAATGGGTGCCTTTTCCTTTCCTTCTCTTCTGCCTTTTTCAAAGGCGGCCAGACTCAGACCCTTAGCCAGTCTGAGCTTTGACTTCCCGCCCGGGAAGTCCCAGAGACGGTGAAAACCGTCCAGAAGCCGTTCCTTCAGAGCCGTGGTTGGCAAACTGCAGCTCGCGAGCCACATGGGGCTTTTTGGCCCCTTGAGTGAGGCTCTTCCTAAGCCTTGGGAGCACCCTAATTAAGTTAATAACAAGGTACCTACCTATATAGGTTAAGTTTAAAAAATTTGGCTCTCAAAAGAAATCTCAATCGCTGTACTGTTGACATTTGGCTCTGCTGACTAATGAGTTTGCCGACCACTGCTCTAGGGACCCGAGCCCTCCTGAGGTCAATAGGTACCTAGGGAGGGGCCAGCTGCCCCTTCTGTCCATAGGACAGGCCAGAACTCGGACCCGTTTCCCGGGGAGAACTTCAGTTTCAGACGTCTGATTCTGACTTCCCTCTGGGAAGTCCCAGAAAGGTGTTTCCTGCCTCTTTTGGGTCCACCTGAGCGCAGAGTCCCTGCAGTCCCTCTGGGCCCCACAAGTTCAGGAACCGGAGGCAAATGTGCCGGTGGCGCCTTCCTTGGGTCCCAGAGCCTGAAGCGAGTGCCCTGAAGTCCGCTCTTGTCAGCAGTGGCCTAAGAGCCAACTCCACTGACCTTTCTCGGCCAATGCACCAATGTCATGGCAGAATGCACGGAGAACCACCAGCCAGCTCTGAGGGAGGAGAGCTTATCCTTTCTTTCGCAGATCTGCTAGTCCAGGGGATTCCGGATCCAAAGCCTGAACTGAACTATCGGGAGGCTCTGGCTTATATATCTGTTCCTGTGGCGGCCCCTGAGGGTCCCTGTAGTTCAAGTCAGCTGTGGTGGGACCCTGGGGTTAGGCTCTGCAGCTCCGCCCAAGTCAGTCAGAGGGGGAAGGAAGACTGCAGTTTTAACCAGGCACTGAACTAGGTTGCAAGCCCCTCATTTTCCTTTTCAGCTTGACCCTTATATGCTGCTTTGCCCACCTCTGCCAAGCGGCTGGGCCCTATTGCAGGGTCCTGGGATAGCTGGCGTGGTCAGGAGCCAGCAGGCTGTGTCAGTGCACCCTCAGCACACCACTCTCTGCCCAGCAGATCCTGACCAGGAATAGGAGTGCACATCACACCCCCTGACTTCCTGGCTGGGGGACCTGGTCACATGCCAGGTGAGGGCTTAGCGGCTCCACAGCGTACCTGCTTCCTGGCTCAGGGTAAGGGCTGAGTGGGGGCCCATGGGGGGACCTTGTGGTGGGCTGAGGGCCTTCCCCTGCTTCATAATCCCCCCTACTGCCCACTCCCAGAAAGAGAGGCATCTCTTGGGGTGGGGTGGGCCTCAAGGACTGCCTCGAAGAGGAGGCTGGGACCACAGGTCTTCATAGGACTGTCAGAATGTCCACCTGAGGTCTTTCAAGCAGGCACTATGCCCCAGGTCCTGTCAGCATGGCTTGGGGCCTGTGGCGTGGACATGGCTACCCTACCCGCTCTGCCCCAAGGCCACGCCATTCCCAGGCCTGCGTCCTGGCAGAAGCCCGCGGTGAGAGACGGTACGCACGGTATACCAATGTGTTTACACCAGCGCTGTAGTTTACGGTGTGCTGTACCCGTGGTCATCTCTGACTCGCATTTGTCCTGCTGACTGGCATCCCAGCTATCACTAGAAAGCTAACCCCTGGGACCAGAAAGGTCCAGAAAGGGGGTCCATGGGGCTGCAGAAACCAGCCCATCTCAGGCAGGGCAGGGCCTTCTGCAGAACCGCAGGGCCCTGTGGGCTCGGGCCCCTCACAGCCTGCTGGGGCTGTGAAGGCTCCCAGGCACCTGGTGGCAGAACCTCCAGGGCTTGAGACACTAGTGAGCTGGGTTCTCCCTGAGGATGGACAGAGCCACGTGCCACCCGTGTGGCTGGAGGTCCTGGGCCCTGCCAGGCTGAGGGCCCACAGAAGGAGAAGAGTCTCCGGAGCCTTGCGGTCACTGTGGCAGGCACCAGACCATGGGGGCACCGTGTGCAAAGCGGTGAGGCAGCCAGGCCTCCCCTGGCCCTGGGCCAGCCTGGGCAGGGCTGCAGAGGGCGTCTGCGGTCTCTCCTCCTCCTCTTCCTCCTCCTCTTTCTCTTCCTCCTCCTCCTCCTCCTCCAGCTCCCCGAGCCTCACGTCTTCCCCCAAATAGAAGACCTATAGATTTAAGCAGGCCCGGCGGCCTGTGGTTATGTTTCTTCCCCTCCAGGTGTTACCTTCTCAACAGGCGGCCCCCCACCCCAGAGGGCATCGTGCAATGTCCTTGGCTCAGGCTCCCACTGGGGACCCTCTCCGCTCCTCTCTGTGCGCTCACGGGCTGAGCGAGCAGGAGGTGTGTGTCTCACCTTCCGGCATAAGAATGTGGACTAGGGCTTCCAAGGACGGGACATACGTCTTCATTACCCACAGGTGCAGCCACCAGCCCTGAGGGGTTGTGGTCCCAGCCTCCCCTTCTATGCAGTCCTTTCGGTCCACCCCCACCCCAAGATTCTGGCCAGACCAGCCCTCTCCTCATGGGCTGGGGACACTCCTAGGAGGCCAATGAGCTGGGTCTGATGAGGTTCCTCAGCCCTGTTCTGGCCCCAAGCACCCCACCCCTCTCCTGCATCCTGTCTTGGCACACAGACTCCCCCTCCTCCACCCACCATCTCATCTAGACACACACACTCACCTTACCAGCGGTTCTCAACCTGTGGGTTGTGACCCCTTTCACAGGGGTCGCCTAAGACCATCGGAAAACACATACATAATTACATAATGTTTTTGTGATTAATCACTATGCTTTAATTATGTTCAATTTGTAACAATGAAAATACATCCTGCATATCAGATATTTACATTATGATTCATAACAGTAGCAAAATTACAGTGATGAAGTAGCAGCAAAAATAATTTTATGGTTGGGGGTCACCACAACATGAGGAACTGTATTAAAGGGTTGCGGCATTAGGAAGGTTGAGAACCACTGATCTAGACACACTCACCTTAGAGATTTCCACCACTCCCCCCCCCCCCCCCATCTCATCCAGGCACACGGACTCACCGTAGAGATTTCCATCTCTCTTTTTCTGTGTGGCTCTCTGGACTCTCATTTTCATAGGAAGCCAAATAAAGACCTAGCCAGAAAATGAAGTGAAATTACACAATTATGGTTGATGATAATAACCTGTTCTGCACTCAGAGTCTGACCTACTTTTTGGTTTTAAAATTAAACTTGTGGTTGGGAGATAATTGTAGATTCACATGCAGTTGTAAGAAATGACACAGAGAGATCTGTGTACCTTTACCAAGTTTCTCCGAATGGCAGTCTCTTGCAAAACTGTAGGACAGATGGCCACTGGGATATGGGCCTGTTACAGTCAAATGCTGCACATGCATCACCACTAGGACCCCTCACGTTGCCCCTCAGTGGCCACACCCACTTCTCTCCCATTTCCACCCTTTTCTTAACCCCTGGCAACCACCGATCTGCTCTCCATATCTAAATTTTGTCATTTCAAGAATGTTATATAAATGGAGTCATTTTTCACTCAGCAGAATTCTCTGGAGATGTGTCCATGAGGTAGTGTATCAATACTTTACTTCTTGGTGCCGAATAGCATTTCATCGTGTGGATGGACTAACCGTTGTTTAACCGTTCACTCCTGAAGGGCCCCTGGGTTATTTCCAATGTTCGGCTATCACAAGCTAAGCTGCTGTAAACATCAGGGTTTTTGTGTGAATGTGAGTATTTATTTCTCTGGAAGAAACGTCCAAAAGTGGAATTGCTGAGTCATATTTTGTTTTATAAGAAACTCTTTGTTAAGTTCTACATCTTAAAAGATTTTCTGTTGTGTGTTTTTTTTTATAGTTTTACATTTGAGTCTGTGATTCTTTTGTTATTATTTTTTGCATAGAGACTAAGATTTTGGTCAAGGTTCATTTTGGGGCCTATGGATGTTCAACTGTCCAAATCATTGGGCATATCTGTGTGGGTCTACTTCTGGGACCCCTGTTCTGTCCCATGGACATATGTCCCGCCAACACCATGCTGTCTCTATTACTGTGGCCTTAATATTGGCCTTAATATTGCGTAGAGTGATTCCTTCCATCTTATTTTATCTCCCCGACATTATTTGAACTATTCTAGTTCCTTTGTTGCTCCTTATAAATTTTAGAATAAACTTATTTATAACTATAAAAGAGAAATCTTGCTGGGATTTTGGTAGGAATTGCATTAAACCTGTACTTAAATTTGAGGAGGAGAATTAGCGTCTTTGCTATGTTGAGTCTTTCAATTCAATTAATCTCAAGAGAGATCAATTCCCTTTTACTCTTATTTTTCTGAGAGTTTTGTGCAGGCATGGGTATTAAAATTTGTGAAATGATTTTCTGCATAGATTGATATAATCGAGTGATTTTCTCCGTTAGTCTGTTAATATAGTGGATTACATTTATTGATTTTCTTTTTTATTTTCAAATAGTAAACAGCCTTGCATCTCTGGATTATAATTATTTTTATAATTATAAAATTATAATTATAATTGGTCATGATTATAATTATTTTTATAAATTGCGAAATTCTATTTGTGAATATTTTGCTAAGGAATTGTTGCATCTGTATTCATGAGGAATATTGGTCTTTATTATTGTTTTTAATACTCTATTTATCTTGTTTTGGTATCAGGGTAACACTGGCTTCATGAAATGAATTAAGAAGTTCCCTCTTCTATTTTTTAAAAGAGATTGTGTAGAATGGTATTAATTCCTCTTTAAATGTTTAATAGAATTCTCTAGTATAACCATGTGGGCTTAGTGACTTCGTTTTTGGGTGTTTTGAAATTACAAAATCAGTTTCCTCAATTATTTTTTATTTCCCTGGGAACTTCTTTTTTAATGCATTTAGAAGGGTGCTGCTTAGACTCTAAGTGTTTGGAGATTTTCCTGTTGTCTTACATTACTGATTTCAAAAGTACTGATTTCTAGTTCGATTCCATTGTGATCAGAGAACACACTCTGTGTGATTTCAGTTATTTTAATTTCTTGCTGCTCGTTTTCTATGCTCAGGATATGGTCTATTTTGGCACCTATCCTGTGGGCAGTTGAAAAAGTGTACTTTGTAAATGCGTAGCTGTAGGGAGTATCTATAAATGTAGATCATGCTATTTGACAGCATTGGTGAGCTATTCTATGTCTTTGCTGATTTCCTGTCTAGTTGTTCTGTCAATTGTTGACAGAGGCATATTGAAGTCTCCAACTATAATTGTGGATCTGTTTATATCTTTTTCAGTTCTACCAGTTTTTGCTTCACAACTTTTGCAACTCTGTTGTTTGGTGGGTACATAGGTAGGATTGCTATGTCTTCTTGGAAGATTGGCCCTCTTGTCCTATATAATAAAGAGCTAATATGCAAATTGTCATCATGCCCTCGTGCCCTCGCGCTGGGGCTGGGGGACCTGAGGCCATGCCCTCAACTCTGGCTCCAGGCCAGGGGATCTGAGGCTGCGCCCCCCGCCCTGTGGGGCTTGACAGGAGTGGGGCCGGCCGGGTCTGGGTCTCGCGCGATTTCGAGGCACACGCGGGTGGGCGGGGACTTGACTCTGGATCCCGTGGCATGCCCCAGACTCTGACAGGAGGGAGATTTTCTAATGCTCTTTCATCTCTAACACTTCTATTATAGAGAAAGGGCAAATAGTGATATTAAAATATTTCCTGTAATTAATTTCCTTTTAATGTGCACGAATTTCATGCACGGGGCCACTAGTTATTGTATAAAGTCCTTCTCTATCTCTGGAAATTTTCTTTCCTCTGAAGTGTACTTTATCTGATATTAATGTTGTGATTCCTGCTTTCATTTGGTTAATGTTTCCCTATTTTAACTTTTCTTTTTTCTTAATCTTTACCCAAGGATATATTTTTTACATTGATTTGTAGAGAGAGAGGAAGAGAGAGAGAAACATTGATATGAGAGAGAAATATCTATTGGTTGGTTGCCTCCTGTATGCACCCTGACTGGGGATTGAACCTGTAACCTAGGTATGTGCCCTGACCAAGAATCAAACCAGGAACATGTTGGTGTATGGGATGACGCTGTAACCAACTAAGCCACCTGGCCAGGGCCCCATTTTTAACTTTTTAACCTGTCTGTACTATTATATTTGAAATTAGCTGCTTATAAGCAGCATATAGTTGGGTCACGATTTAAAATTTTTTAAATTTTATTTTAGAGAGAGAGGAAGAGAGGGAGGGAGGGAGAAAGGGAAGAAGGGTGAGAGGGGGAGAGAGAGAGAGATGAAAGAGAAACATCTATTGGTTGCCTCCTGTATGCACCCTGACTGGGGATCAAACCTGCAATCTAGGTATGTGCCCTGACCTGGAATCCAACCCATGACTTTCTGGTGCATGGGACAATGCTCCAACCAACTGAAATCACAGTGGCCAGGGCAGGTCATGCTTTTTAATTTACTCTGCCAATGTCTTTTACTTGGTATATTTAGACCATTTACATTTAGTATATTTATTGATGTGTTAGAGCTTGAGTCTGCTATTTTATTTATTATTTTTTTGTTTGTTCTCTCTGTGTTTTGTTTCTGTTTTATTTTTTGTCCTCCTATGGGTTACCTGAACAGTTTTTTAAAATTCAATTTTGATTTATCTATAGTGAATTCCTGAAAGATAATTTCACTGAATATAAAATTCTGGGTTGATATTTGTTTTCTTTCAGCCGTTAAAAAGCATGCCATTGCCTCTGGCCACTAGGGTTTCCGATGAGGAATCTGATGCCATTTGGATTGTTTCCCCCTTGTAGGTAAAGTGTCACGTCTTTCTCAGTGCTGTAAGAGGATCAGTTAGTGCTGTTTTGAGTCACCCCATTTGTGGTGATTTGTTTCAGCACCAATAAGAAACTAATACAACTAGAGTGGAGTGTAGTCCTATGGGCTTTGCTGTGCCGACTCAAGTAAATCTCACTTGGCATTGGGAAGTAGGCTCTCTCAGTCCCCCACTTTCTAGATGCAGCCGAGCAGGCTCAAAAAAGGTGAGGGACCCGCCCAGGGTTACACAACATACAGCACACACTCACACCAGCTCTGGAAAGATCCTAACATGAGCTCTGAGAAGGCGGTCCTTACCATCACCTCCACTTTTCTGAAGAGGAAGTGGGGTAAGATAGATTTACAATTCCAGGGGGAAGCCTGGGCCTGGGGTACCCAACCTGCAGCTCCGCAGGCTCTTGGGGAGGCAGCCAGGCGGGGGGCCGGTGAGGGGGGCAGACTTCTCTGCTCCCTCCCAGAGCCAGCAAACATGGGCATGGTGTGTTGTGCTCAAAGCTGGGGCCCTGACTGGCACTGCGACGAAGAGGCCACATAAGAGTCCCAGGCCCAGCAGTCAGTGAGGCCAGGGGTACCTTACCGTCCTCACTGAAGGCGGGGGCAGCGCACAGGTAGTGGGTGATGCTGGGGTCTTGCTCGAAGGGACACTCCACTTGTTTCCATGTGATGAACTCTCCAACCTGCTTGGCCAGCTCCAGAAATTTCTGCCAGGGTCACAGAGACACAGGATGGTGGCACTCCTCTCCCAGGGCTCGACATTCCCTGGGAGAGCGGGGTTGGCACGACTTCTCTCACCACCTCTGGGTGAGCAAGTTGGAACTCGGGGCAGTAAATGGCATCGCCAGCATCAGAAAACCTGGGTGTTCATCACCGCTCTTCATCCCCTCTGAGGAATCAGCCACACCTGACACCTAGGACTCCCCAGCCCCTGGGGCCTGGGCTATGGCCCTCAGTAGCCAGTGCCTCTAGCTAGAGGTGAGCATTACTTTAGTTTCATTCTGTTTATTTACTAGAGGCCCGATGCACGAAATTTGTGCAAGAGTAGGCCTTCCTTCCCCCGGCTGCCAGCACCGGCTTCCCTCTGGTACCTGGGACCCAGGCTTCCCTCGCAGCCCCAGCTTCATCTGGTCTAATTAGTATATTACCCTTTTATTATTATAGATGTGGTTATCCCTACTTATGGCAAGTTTGTTTATTTAAAGAACTAGAGGCCTGGTGCATGAATTCATGCATGGGTGGGGTCCGGGTGGCCCGCCCTGATGGATTGAGGCCTATCGGGCCGGGCTGGCCAGGGGAGGGGCCACGGGTGGTTGGTGAGCAGGCTCCACCCCCTCGTCGAACTCCCAGTTGAACTCCCGGTGGAACTCCTGGTCAAGGGGACAATTGGCATATCAGCCTTTTATTATATAAGATATGCAAATAAATTTAAATAAATGTATTTAAATAAACCAAGAAAATTCATTGACGTAGAATTTTTTAAAGTGAAATTTAAAAACATTTATTTAACTAGAAAAATATGTGCTTACTTAAAGAAGGATTTTAAATAAATAGCAGCACCAAGTCATGACTGGGTGAGAGCCCCATTCCTGGTCTCCTGTGATCAGCCCTGGGCCAACTCCGCCCCCACGGTTTCCAACCTGAATCTGGGGCCCCGCAAGCAGCTTGCAGTCTTGCTCTTGCCTGTCAGCCTTGTTCTGAAGGCCAACTCAAGAAGGCAAAGGACAGGATTCCCATAGCTGGTGGGTGTTGGGGTAGCCTGAAGAGGGAGCTCCCAGGCCCCTGGGCCTCTGTGGCCTCTCTCAAGCCAAGCCTCTGCCATGACACCTCCAGCCTGGACTGCCTCTGCCTGCTGGACTGGCCCTCCCCTCGTCACACTTGCCCTCGGGGTGACCAGGCCTGCTGGGTGTCTGTGTGAGGCCCAGGTGCCTGCTGGGGCCCGTCACCGGAGGGCACCGGCAGAGCCCTCTCCCAGCTGCCCAGCATGTCCTCCTGGGCCCGCTGTGCTGCCTGGTGGAAGTCTGGTTTTACAGGAGAAGAGACTGAAGCTCAGAGCAGGGGCCAGCCCAGGACTGACGGCCCTTGGAGTTGGAGGCTGGGTGGGGCCAGCTCCAGGGGGGCTGGCCCCCCCTGTGGGAGAAGAGCCCTCCTTGCTGCAGATCGAGAATACCACTGCTGCTTGGTGTGCGCTGCTGTCCGACTCAGTGACTGCCTGCTGTCAGCCCCACACGCACAGCTACTTAGAGCCACGTGTGCCTGGTGGCCTGTGTGGGGCTCGAGGGACAGAGTGGAGCAGCCTTGCTGCCTCTGAGGAGCCTGGGGACCGGAGCAGTGTGACCGAGGGTTGCCCGGCCTATTTTGCAGGGTCTCCCAGGCCGTCAGACCCGTGGCCTCTCTCAAGCCCAGCCTCTGCCATGACACCTCCAGCCTGGACTGCCCCGACTGCTGGACTGGCCAGGCCTATTTTTCAGGGTCTCCCTCTGCCTGGGAGGTCAGGGGGCCTCCTGGAGGAGAGGACACTTGAGCTGACCGTGGTGAACGTCCCTTGTGCCCATTCTACCCTCCGCCTACTTCCTCCTGTTGCTCAGCGCCCCTCCTTTGGGGGCCTCCCCGGGCCCCTGCACTGCGCCCCTGTGCCCCTGTCAGCACCTCGCCAGTTGTCAGCCTGGTGCTCTTTGAGGGCCGGAATGAATTCTGCCTCACACGTGCTGGGCCGAGGCCTGCAGAGTGGGAATCAACCCTGCGTGAGCCTCAGTTTCCTGCGGAGGATGTGGGTGGGGAGATGCCAGTGCCCCTGCCCTGACATGGTGGTGAGTGGTGGTCAGGCCAGCACTCCTGCTGGCGGAGCTGTTCCGTCCTGTCTGACCCCTGGGCCCTGGACCCTACCTCAAAGTTGACGTGTCCGTTGGGGAGGCGGTTGGCACAGCCCTCGTTGAGGAAGTAGATGTCTTTGATGAGCAGGCTGAAGAAGGGAACGACGATCTGGAAGGGACAGGGTAGGTCAGCCCTTGCCGGTGCCCCCAGCCCGTGGCCTCGGTGCATGCTCAGGCTAGAGAGGGCGGGAGAGACTTCCTGGGCCCAGCTGGCGGCTTGGGGCTGCGTGGGGATCAGGCTACTTAGTATGCACCAAGGGGCAACGTGGAAACCACAAAGGAAGGGGGTAGAGGTCTCCTTCCCTGAAGCCAAACGGTTTCCTCCCAGGCCCCGTGCTGACTGAGCTCCTGCTGTGGGTGGTGGCCCTGGAACATTTCCTCCACCTCCTGCTTCGGGGACGGACGGACAGACGGACGGACGGAGCACGCTGAGCACAGAGTCAGTCCATAGGGCCTGGGGGTCATCTGTGGCCTCCTTTTAAACACATACTTAACAGCTTGTCCTTGTATGTCCTTCTTGGTGCTGAAGATCTGAACGCGCTGTGCTATGGTGAGGCCAAAGGCGTGGCCGCAGCTGCTGACGGTGGGGCTGCCGAGCTCAGCCTGCGGGGCCCCTGCCTCACTGCCATGCCGTGCGCCGTGCTTCTCCCTCCCTGCTCTGCCGATCCCTAGAGACCCCTGCTCACGGCTCAGACCACCCCGGAGAAGCAGCCGGCCCTACCCTGTGTCCTGCTTCAAACTGTGTCCCCCCAAAGACATGTTGGTGTACCAAGTCCTGGTGGGGCCTTGTTTGGAGCAAGTCTCTTAAGACGGAATCAGGTTAAGGTGAGGTCACACTGGCCATGCGGGTCTAATCCAGGGACTGGTGTCCTTGTAAAGAGGGGACTTTGGACACGCACAGGGACGATGGCCATGGGAAGGCGGAGGCAGCGATGGGGCAATGTGGCCACTAGCCAAGGAGCGCCGAGGCCACCGACGCTGGAAGGATCCCTGGGGCCTCCGGAGGGAGGCGGCCCTGGCGCCCTGATAAGGCTTCAGCCCTGCACGAGGACAGGCTCTGTCCGAAGCTGCCTGCTTGGGCACAGCCCCAGGATGCGAGCATAGCGGCTCCACCCTGGGGCCAGAGCTGGGCGCCTGCTGCCAGGCCAGCCCGTCACCCTGGGGACCAGACACCTTGGCGTATCTGGATCAGGGAGTGCTGAGCCCACCCCCACTTCCGCCCCATTCAAGTCAACTAAGGCTTTGAGGTGAGGACCTGGGCGCTGGCCGCTCTGCACAGCACAGAGCGTGGATGGCTCAGCTGGACGGGGCAGACAGGGAAACTGAGGCCCGTGGAGTGGGCTGATCTGTTTGGGAAGGTGGCGAGTTCTCCGTACTGGAGACGGGCAGCATGTCTGTCACACAGCCATAGAGGTGCGGGGGTGGACCAGGTGACCTGGGAGTGAGCGTCCAGGTTCTCTGATGCAGCCCACCTGGACCAAGGTGTTTAGCGCAGGCAGGAGCCTTGAAGACCAGGCAAGCCTCTGACCTACCTTCTCCTGGCTGCTGTGGGCGGTCAGGGAGCGGTGGGCGGCCCCCCGCAGGGCTGCCCTGTAGTTGCAGAAATTCCCGGTTGGATCCATCTGGTGCTGGAAGGAGACAGGGACGCAGCTGGGCACTGTCCCTGGGGAAGGCCGGCGCCCCCCGCTGCCAACACCATGCTCACCAGGCTCCAGGATGAAAAGCTTGGCTGTCTTCACTTTGGCCCAGGTCTTCTTCAGCCTGGACACGGGGCTCATGTTCATGCCAGCTGCAGAGGGAGGCCGAGCTGGGGAGGCTGCCCCGGGCTGCAGTCCCATCACTGCCCCGGGCGGAAGGCTTCTGTGTGGGCCCCCTGCCCAGCCTCTGCGGCTGCAGCCTGACCTGGGCTGAGTCTGCAGCAGCCTCGGCCGCCAGGCAGCAGGTAGGTGTGTTGGGGTGACCTGGCTTCTGCATGTGCAGGCCCCATCCCAGTCCTCCGCACACTGGCCCACACGGCGCCAGGGCCAGCTTTGGGCCCTGCTCTCCCTGGATCCGGGGTCATACTGCCACACCCTCGCCAAGCACCCCGAGCAGGCTGAGCCTCAAAGTTGGCACCCTTCCCGGACCTCTGGGTGGGGATGCGGGCCCAGCTGGCACTCACTCTCTGCTCAGAGGAGATCTCTGGCTCGAAGCACGCCTGCCCAGGTGCCCACGCCCGCCTGCCCGGGTGCTGGACTCAGGCCAGCTACTCACAGACGATGGCCATGAGGGAGTTGAAGTTGCCAATGTTGAAGCACTTGCGGGCCACGTCGATGAAGAACTCGATCACTTGGGCCCTCCGCTTCTTCTTGGACAGCTGGGGACAACACCCGAGCCTCAGCAATGACCGGTCCCTGTCCTACTGTGACCACCTACCCTGCCCACCGGCCAGTCCCTCCTGCGGGCTGGGATGTGTGATCTGGGCCATCTGCCGCCTCGGGCTCAGGGCTCTGAGCAGCGCAGCGCAGGCCACTGCCAGCGAGGGCGCAGGGGGCCACTTCCAGCAAGGGAGGCCCTTTTCCCAGGCCAGCGCCACACCCTCCAGAGGCAGAAGGCACGCTCGCCCCTCCTTCCTCCCAGCATCGGGCTGGTCTCCCCAGCCAGGACCACACCCGACCCCGGACCACACGCCGACTCCACTCAGGTAAACCCGCTGCCCGCTGCCGGGGACACTCCAGGCCCCACCGTGCTCTTCCCGCAGATAACACTGGCCTGGGCCTGCTGCCCCCAGCAGCGCGCTGTGTGTCTGCAGAGACGGGCCCCCCGAACCCCTCAGACAGCCCTGCCTCCGGCCTGCCTGTCCCTCAGGGAGCAGGTGACTGTGCTGGCGGCAGAGCGAGGGGGCCCTGGGACAGGACCCTCCCACCGCAGAGGCATCGTTTCCTTCTGGCCAGGCCTCGTCCTCTTCGCCTGCCACAGGCGTTGGCCCCCGAAAGCCCTTGCACCCCAAGCTCTGTCGCAGCATCTGGTGCTGGAGAGCCCACGGGCACGCGTGCTGCCTACAGTCCTTCCCGGTGACGCGTGGCCCGGCCTCCCCTGATGCGGGGTGGCCAGAGGGGGGCCCTCTGCTGTGAGGAGGAGCCGCCTGGCTGATGGACGGTTCTTGCTGACATGCATGTCGGTTTAGACTGGCCCGGTCTACCTGCTTCCCCGGAGAAGCCAGAGGCTGGACTTGGAGCGTGCAGTCTCCTCGCTCTTAAAGGCTGCGCCATTCTACCTCTAAATCTGAGGGAGCCAAACAACGCGCTGCAGGCCCGCGGCCCAGCAGGCAGGCACCGTGGAGGCAAGCAGCCCCTGGCACCCTCTGCTAGAGGCCGGAGGGTCCGTGCTGGCTCTGCCCAGAGGGGAAATGTCACTGCAGGCAAGCCCGGTGGCAGCTGGTGTCCCGGGGGTGCCCAGCCTGGCCGGGCTTGGGGACAGATGGCTCCAGAAGCCCTTCTGGCTCCCCCCGGGCGAGCTCCTCCCGCCTGCGTGCTCTGCCACGCCCGCTCCGTCCCGGGTTCTACGCACCATGCAGACCTCAGTGGCCACGAGGTAGCACAACCTGTTGAACCATTTCACGTAAGCCTCCAGGTTCTTGGTCTTATCACCGAACAGGGCTAGGAGAGATGAAAGGACTGCACTCAGTCTTTATGTTAATGATTTTTGGAACATGAAGTCAGTTCACGATCATGATAGACAATTTGGAAAATGTCGGAACCTCAAAACCACCCACAAGCACCAGTGATCTGATGTTCACCTTCTAGTCTTGCTCCAATGCATGTGGAGATGTAGTGTAACATGATATATATCAATATATGTAACCATCAGTCCTCATTATCCATAGATTCTGTATTTGTGACTCTACCTACTCCCTAAAAATTCATTTGTAACCCCCAGCGCCTCACTTTCCCTCTCACTCACGGACGTGTGCAGAGTGGCAAAATACTGGAGTCACCCAACACAGGCTGGGGTTAAGCGAAATGGTGCCTGGCCTTCTTGCTTCAGCCCCGTGCTGACACGTGTCCTGCCTGCCGTCCATCGGGCGTCACGGTGATTTCACGCGTCCTGTGCCCAGCGCAGTGCTGCCGGGCTGTCTTGCCTCCCCAAGCAGGAAGCTTGTGGTGCCCGAAGGGAACGTAGGCGTGAGATGCGCTTTCAGGCATGAGTCATAGTGCTACTGGCAATGAGTTCAATGTCATTGAATGAACAATATTTATTGAAGAAGATGTCTTTAAACAGAAACGCACATAAACTAAGGCTCTTTGTTGATTGGTTGATGACAATGTTGGGATGAGAGGCTCGCAAGGAACCTAACCCTCCGTTTCCCTTAGGAGCAATGGGTGCTTGCTGATGCAGAGTTCCCGACAAATTTGTAGGACATAACTACCATGAATAATGAAAATCGGCTGTATCTTCCTTTTGCTATGTAACTATATATATATTTCCATATTTTTCCACGTGAACATTTCGTGTACCATACAATATCCTTTGGAATGTTTTCAATTGATGTAGAACATTCCACTGTATAAATACACCACAATTTTAAAAATTAAACTTAAATATAGAAGTTAAAATTGAGAGGTGACTTTCAGTAAATAGTGGGGCGGGGGGGGGGGGGGGGAATGGGGGACTTATCCAAGAAAGCAAAGAAAGGAGAAAAACAGGGACAGGAAAGGTAAGGGAGGCCACCAAAGGCAGGCAAGCAGACAGTTAGCACAGACCCCACACAGCAGTAATCACAATCACTACAATGCAAAACCCAGGTGCATGCTAGTTTCAAGAGACACACCCCAAACCTAAGGAGATAAGTAAAAATATAGAAAAACAGATATGATAAACACCACAGTGATGTGTTAATATTAGACAAGACAAACTCCAAGGCGAAAAGCATTAGAAGAGATTAGAGGGTAGTTGTATAATGATAAAAGGTTCAAGTTATCGAGAATATGTCGCAAGTCTAAACTTGTCTGCATCTAACAACACAGCTTCAAAATATGAAGGCAAAAAAAAAATCAGATAAAAAAATTAAAAAGATAGAGAAGATTCTGAATAACTTTGTCTATAAAGTGAAAACTTGGGAGGAACGGTCAAATTCCTGGAAAAATATAAATTACAAAACAGTAAAGAAGAGGACATACCGATGGCCATTAGACATATGAAAAGAGGCTCAACATCGCTAATCATCAGAGAAATGCAAATTAAAACCACAGTGAGATATCACCTCACACCTGTCAGGATGGCTACCATCAACAAAACAGCAAACAACAAGGATGTGGAGTGCTGTTGGACTGCAGATTGGGAAACAGAATGGAGGCCCTTCAGAATATTAAAAATGGAGCTGCCTTATGACCCAGCAATTCCGCTTCTGGGACTGTATCTGAAGAAACTCCCCAAAAACCGTAAAGGGAAAGTTTAGTAACTTTCACTAGGTTTCAGTTAAGAACACACACTGATCGGAAGACGTAATAATGGAAATGAAAACCAAAGACACTAACTAGGAGAGGAAAATTTGCAGTCCATCTAGTTGACAAAGGATAATTATCTAACGCAAAAACTCATAAAAATCCTTCAGAAAAAGACAAATCCCCAATAGAAAACTGGATGAAAGTTAGGGACAAGCATTTCACAGGAGAGAAAACAAGAATGTCCAAAACCCACGAAAAGATGGTCCATTTAACAGTTTGACAAAAATTAAGAAATCTGACAATTTCAAGTATCAGTGAGGATGCAGAGCAAGAATAGCTCCCTGCTGGCAGGGTGAACGGGTACAGCCTCACTGGCACCACCCTGGAAGGCTGGCCACGTGCCCACCTGCGAGGGAGGCAGTACTTCTCTCCGAGGTATATCCTAGCCCAGTGGTCGGCAAACTCATTAGTCAGCAGAGCCAAATATCAACAGTACAACGATTGAAATTTCCTTTGAGAGCCAAAATTTTTAAACTTAAACCATATAGGTAGGTACATTGTTATTAACTTAATTAGGGTCCTCCTAAGGCTGAGGAAGAGCCACACTCAAGGGGCCAAAGAGCCGCATGTGGCTCGTAAGCCGCAGTTTGCTGACCACGGTCCTAGGGCAACAGTTCCCAGAGTGCTGTGGGGTCACAGGGGCAAAACCATTTTCTTATTTACACAATGTTTTCGTCTTTTCACGTAGACACCAGTGGTGCGTCAGAGAATGATGGGAAAATCGCTGCCACCCAGCCCGGATGGAGCGGTCGTGGTGTTCTTCCCTACTAATCACACAGGGAAAGAAAAGCAGCCAGTGTGACTTAAGAACGTCCTCGAGGAGACAAACTTTTTTCAATTTTATTAAATTTTGACCCTGTGTGACTGACCTGAGAGCCGACACCTTTCTCAGGGGACAGTGTTTACTTGAAAGCGGGACTGACCCAATATAGTTATTCGGTCGTCAGTATTTGGCAGTGATTGTCTTGAAAATGAACAAATTGAGCCTGTCTCTTCTGAGGACAATTGATAGTATTTGTGGCCAATGATAGAGTTCAAGTTTTCAAGAGGAAATTGGGAATTTGTAAAACACGTGCCCACCTTTGGGAGCTCGACAGCTTCCCATGAGTAAGGACTTTTTTATTTTTAACTAGAGGCCCGATGCATGAAATTTGTGCAAGAGTAGGCCTTCCTTCCCCTGGCTGCCAGCACCGGCTTGCCTCTGGCACCTGAGACCCTGGCTTCCCTCCTGCCGCCAGCAGGCACCCAGGACCCAAGCTTCCCTTGCAACCCCTGCTTTGTCCAGAAGGTTGTCCGGCCTAATTAACATATTGCACTTTTATTATTATAGATGAGACCAGTAAGTGTTATTAATGAAGGTGATTTTAAAATCTTTTATAATAAAATGTGCCAACGTTTGGAAGATCAGCTTGATTCAGTGGAGCCATATTTTCCAAATGACCAAGGTATAATATTACAAAATCATGCCTGGGCAAAAGGGAGCTACTCAAGATGCAAGATGGCCCAATGGATTTAATGTAATAGAGCTCAGAAAGTCCACTGATGTATTTTCATATTGCACATTGCAACTAATCTTTAAAGACTACCACTCGCCCAGTTGCAGTGTAGCATCAAAGAACATTCCCAGGGGGGTGGGTAAGAGATCAAGCAAAGGACTTGTATGCATGCATATAAGCACAACCAATGGACATAAGACACTGGGGGGTAGGGGAGGCCAGGGGATTGTCAAGGGCGGGGGGGAAAAAAAGGAGACATATACTTTTGTAATACTTTAAGCAATAAAAAAAAAAAAAAAAAGAACATTCCCAATTATCTAAAACTAAAGGCCTGGTGCACAAAATCATGAATGGGTAGGGTCCCTAGGCCTGGCTGGGGCCTTCTGGCTGCCAGCCAGGGCCTTCCTTTCCCTGGCTGCCAGCTGCTGGCTGGGGCCTTGCTTCGTTCTGTGCCACCCCCTGGTGGTCAGTGCACATCATAGAGAGCAGTTGAACTCCTGGTCAGTCGAACTCCCGAGGGGGCAATTTGCATATTAGCCTTTTATTATATAGGATGATGGCTGTAAAATACCCCTCCCTTTTCCAACTACATACTTTTGGAGGTTAGATTTTCCACCAATAATGTCAAAAGATTGAATGCAGAACCAGATAAGAAAATTCAGCTGTCTTCTAAATCAGTCATTAAAGAGATTTGTAAAAATGCTGTAAAACAACGTCACTTTTTTTATTTCGGAAAAGTAAAAACTAGTTTTTTTTATTTTGGAAAATATAGTTATGTTTCATAAAATATGGTAACTATGTGTATAGTGGGTTACTATGAATAAATAAATAAGTTAAAAAGTTATCAGTTTTAACAGCTAATATGATGGCCATTTTAATGATAAATATCAGTACAGAAAAATCAACATAAACAAAAGTTCTTTGGAGTCCTCCTTAATTTTTTAAAGTGGGAAGCTGTCCTGAGACCAAAACATTTGCGAACTGATGGCCTAGGAAAATGTGTACCAGGAACGTGTAAGAATGTTCCCAGCAGCAATACCTATTATGGCAAGAGACCAGAAACCACACAAATGTTCACCTCCAATAAAGTGGGTAAATAAATGTCATGTGTGATCTTGACGTACTTCACAAAAAAAAAAAAAAAAAAAAAATGCTTGAAAATGGCCAAATAATGCTTGAGGAACAAAAAGCCAGCAAAGAGTGGCCAAGTCTGCTTCCCACCCCTGCTGGGTTCCCTAATCACTGTGGTTGACACTAGGAGAGGAAAATTTGCAGTCCATCTAGTTGACAAAGGATAATTATCTAACGCAAAAACTCATAAAAATCCTTCAGAAAAAGACAAATTTCCAATAGAACACAATGACCGCAGTGACAGTCTTCTTAGAGATCGTCTCCACAGCTTGTGCAAGTGGCTACGAATCACGCTCCTGCCTTCCGTTGTTGTTACAAACGGCCACACACTCTGTCACTGCTGTTCACTCTACTCCCCTCTCGCCAATGCATCTTGGGATCACTCCATACCGACAGCTGCTTTTATTCTCTTTAACAGTTGCGTAACACATAGAATGAATGGATGCACTAAAATTTTAAATCCGTTTCTATGGGTGATAAGGTAGTTTGCTTCCAGCCTGTGGACATTATAAACACGGTTTATCTCAAATCGTCGTGTGCACATCTCTGTGTGCGTGGGTGTGTGCTAGCATATCTGGTGGGTAAATGATTAGGTATGGAAAGCTGGCGTCCAGGCTGTGCATTTCAAGTGTTGATGCTATGGCCACACTGCCCTCCGAAGTGGCTGCGCCAATTTCCCCACCCGCCGCGGGTGAGAGTTCCCTCCCTACACAGGCACAGTGTTCACCTTGCTAATCTGATCGGGGAATGCAATCGCGTATTTAATTAATTTATTAGGTGCTGGGCAGAAGACACACTGTCTCCGTTCTGATTTCATTTGACCCCGTTGGTCCCCTGCTGGTTGGGCTCTGAAGGGGGAGGGCAGCTCTGAAATCTGTGTGAGGACCTCGCCCTGCGCGCTTGGCCCAAGGGCCACGCCACCCTCCACCCTCGGAGGGAAGCTTCCCTGGGCAGCGCGCACCAGCCTGCACTTCTCTGAGTGACCGCTGGAGGGAACCCCTCGTCCACCGAAACGCACCCTGTTGGGGTCGCCTGCCCTGGGTCGCTAGGAAGCTGGCCCGGCTGATGTTAGGGGGATCGCCCCTCCCCCCACCCCCCGGGGGACGGTGGGTCACTGCAGGGACAGCGCGTCCGAGGGCCTTCTGCCTTGGTGCTGGCCAGAGGGTCCTTGTTCACAAAAGCCTGGACAAACTCCTCGGGCCCGATGTGTCGCAGCCGTGCCTGCACCGGGAGGAAGAGGAGTCTGAGAAAGGTCTGGGGAGGGGGTGCCCGCTGGAGGCCTGGCATGGTGCTCCCTCAGCCTCCCTGCCTCCAGCTACCCCAGGAGGATCTCTGGGCACCTGCCCTTCTCACGAGGGCTCTGCAACCCCGTTCTGGGTGGTCACGGAGCCCAGCAGACCTCCTTCCCCAGGCCCAGGGCTGCCTCTGATCGTGGGGCCGGGGGCAAAGGCCCTGGGAGGGCCCGTGGGACGCGACACCCCGGAAACCAGGCTGGAATCAGGGACTTGGTGACCTGCTCCCTCCAGGGGAGGCCTGGTGGTTGAGAGTTTGGGTCAGAATTGGATCCTGGCTCTGGCCCTCCTGCCGTGTGACGTCTGGCACTTCACAGCCTCCTGGTTTGTGAAAAGGGAGTAACAGTAGCACGCGCCCGGCGGGTGAGGAGGGTGAGAGGGCATGCAAGCATGGAGCACAGCGCCGGGGAACAGCAAGGACCGGCATGGCGGAGGTGTCACAGGAAACACCCCCCACCGCCCCTCTCCCTGGGGGGGCCCCTTGGCCGCTGCCTCTGCCAGGACCCCGCACGCTGCACGCTTGGCAGAGGCGTCCCCTCCCCCGCGGGGGGCCTGGGCTCCTCTGGAACGCTGGGGGCGGGTGCAGTGCGTTCTGGGTGGGGAGGCCGAGGGTGGAGAAGGCACTGGTGGTGCGAGGATCACACAGCGGGTGGGGTCAGACCCAGGGTTTGAACCCAGTTCTGTCCCAGGCCGGGACTCGCCTGCCGGCTACGGGTCAGAGCTGGGCAGGGCTGGAGCCTCAACCCTCTGTTCTCACCCCCGGTTGCTGAGAACAGCTTCAGAGCCAGGGACCTCTGGACAGGCCTGGCTGGCCCTGCCCCGGCGGGCTCAGGGCTTGGGTTATGCTGAGACAGGGCCTGGGCCAGAGGGGGGGCGAGGGGTGGCCGGTGGCTCTCAGTCTGTCCCGCTCTGGGTCTAGGCCGAGGTGGCACCAGCTTCCTCACCAGCTCCACGAGGGTCAGCTGCTGGGCCAGCCTGTAGGGGTCGCTGCAGACGCCGAGGAGCTCCCTGCGGATGGAGGCTGGCAGCTGGGTCCTGTAGGAGACGGGCCGGTCGGTGCCCAGCAGGCTTTCCGGCCCCGGGCCGGGGCTGCCAGCTTCTGGTGCAGAGCCTGCAGGACCTGGTGCCTCGCTCTGTATGCCTGTGGGTGGGGAGGGTCAGGGCCGGCACCCCCTCCTCTCTAAGGTCTGAGGCAGGCGCCCTGGCTGGCGGGGAGCGGCTGTTACTGGGCGTGCCCGCCTCTGCCTCATCCTAAAGCAGCCCCAGGGCAGGAGGGGCCACAGTCGAGGCCAGTGGGAAAGCAGGCTGCAGGGCTACCAGTGGGAGCTGAGAAGAGCAAGCACAGGGAGGGGACGGGGTCCAACGCGGCCCCAGCTGCCTGGGCAGGTGGGCTGGGCAGTGCCAGGGAGCAGAGGGAGGGCGGGAGGCCGGAGGGAGGTGTGGGATGGGCCTGCCCCGGCAGCTGGCCGTTGGTTCAGCTTAGTCTTCAGAGCCAGGCTGGGCACTTGACACCAGTGACTGCACGGACAGAGTCCCTCCCAGGCAGCGAGGGGACGGTTCCTCTTTGCGCCATGCTGGGCTGGTGCAGGGCACCCACCCTCTCACCCAAGGCAAACTGATAACCCCCCTCAGGGACCCTATGTTCAAGGAAGGTGCCGGGCTGGGTTTATAAGCAGATGTTCACACATTCCCCAGGACGTGGTCAGTAACCTAGCCCGTCAGCACACGCCCCCCCAGGGGGACTCGGCCCTCCATGAGCCAAGGTGCTGACAGGGAAGGCATTGGGCGCAGGGCCTGGTCTCCAGGTAGCACCAAGGTGTCGGGCAGACAGGTGTGTGCGTGGGCAGGGCCTGGCCCAGAGGCCTGGGAAGGTAACGCTGGTGAATTGTGGGCACCGCCAGGTAATTGCAGATCAGGTGGGCTCAGTCATGCTGCTTTGACACATACCCAGTGGCCTCGTGCAGGTGGGCACCTACGTGCCGGGGGCCTGGACAGCTCCAGGCTCTGGGGGGCTCAGGAGGGCCACTGAGATCTGGCATTGGTGGTGCCAGAGCTCTGGTGACAGGTGATGGAAGTGCCTCTGTGCAAAGTGGCCACAGGGGCCTGTGGCAGGGCCCGCGGGACACAGGGAACAGGGCAGGAGGCTGCCTAACCTGAACCCCAACCCGAACCCTCACGCCCAGAGCCATGGGGGCAGGCCCAGAAGGCACCCGCTGGCCAGCAGGACAGCCCAAAGCGTGGTCAGCGTGCTGCCCTGAGTGCCGGGAAGATGTGCGTGCGTGGGGTCAGCCGTGGCCAGCCTGGGTGACAGTCACTGGCCTGTGAGTCCTGACACCTCCACTGGCCCCACCTCTCTCCAGTGGCCTCTGGGGTGGCTACAACCGGCCTTCGAGTACCCTCACTCCCCCACTCCCCCCGCGGGCTCCTGCTGTCACCCCGGACTCCCTCTGAAAGCCAGGGGCCCTTTCTCAGCTCGTGTCCCCCTCGGGATGTTTGCTCGTCTGTAGGTCCCATGACTGGGTGCCGGTTCCTCCTGGCTCCCTCTTGTCCTCCGTCCTCCATTCCTGGAAGCTGGCTCACGTCCAATGTCACTGAGCGTTCATGTGTTTACGCGAGCAGCTTCTCTTCTGATCGCCAGACCCACGTGGCCCAGGGCCACCTCCGTCCCACACGAGCGAATGCTGCCACCAGCCCCCTGGATCTGGCATCTCCCCTCTCCACGCTCCATCTTCCTCCAGGTCTCCGTGGTCCAGGCTGTGGTCCCCGCCCCAGTGGCTGCAGAGGCCTCCTCAGTGGCCCCGGCATTGGTGTCAGCTCTCTCCACGCCACTCTGCGCCAGCGTCTGCTCAAGATGCTCTCTGACCCTGGCCTCCTCCTTAATGTCTACACTTTCATGAGGACAAAGCCCTGGTCTTGGAGGCCCTGAGGTCCGCCCTGGCCTCGCTCAACGGCCTCACGTGGCCCTCACTCCCCTTGCTTGTGCTGCAGACACGGGCACTCCTACTCCTTTGACCCCTCCCCGGCCTCCCCCTGCTGCCACAGGCCTTGTCCCTCTGGGCACACCCTCTGGCCAAGGGGCATCAGCGCCCCTCCTCACAGCCCCTGCCCACGCCCCCCCGGGGGACTGTCCCCCCCACCCCCGGCCGCTCTTCTCACTGCTCCCCACGTCACACTGGCCGCGTGGCTCAGCCCCGGCATGAAGGGCAGTGCCTGGCTCGCCGGAGGGGCCCACACACCTTTGCTGACGGGTGGACGTGGCCTTTGCCTGCTTCCAGGCAGCCGGCTTCTCCAGGGTGGACCACGGGGTCCTCCTGGAGCCAAGGGCCTGCAAGCTGTGCCTGTGGTTTGGTGGCCCACACGCTTCCCCACACGCAGAGTTCAGCAGGAACGGCTTCTGCTGGACCAGCACTCATGCCAAGCAGTTACCATTTCCCAGGTGCTAGCCACTGAGGATTTCCCAGTGTGCTGCCCTGCAGCTGCTGGTTCTCTTTCCCAGATCTCCAGTGCCGCCTCTGAAAGTGGGAACGGCCGGCCCTTGTCTCTGACATTCCTTTTTCTCGCTGGCTTGACACCCTGCAGCTGGAGGCTCGGAGAGCTCCGCGGGACAGCTGGCTCCTCGCGGGACAGCAGGTGCTCCTTGTCCCGCAGGGACACCAGGCTGTGCCAGCACGGGCACCCCCCTCCCCACAGCTTGCCGGCAGGCCTGGTCTATCTTCTCCATCCATGTCCACAGAGCCACCTGCTCCAGGCACACAGTCGGGTTCAAGTGCAGAGGTCATCCAAGGGTGCGGCTGGCCCCCGCTCCCCAGGTGCCTCCGAGTTCTCCTGAACTGTGTGTTTCGTGGTTAGAGCCCCAGTCTCCGGCCGGACAGGAGGCCTCTGTTCTCTGAACTTCTTGAAAACCTCCCCCTAATCCGTCCCGGGGCCAATGTCCAGTGGGCTCTCCGACCCCGCGGTTTGTTGCCAGGTGGTTTGTTCTCCGTCAGCTTTCCGCCACCTGTGCCCTCGGTGGGGTGGGGTGGGGGGTGGGGCCAGCGGGGTCAGTCCAGCAGGCGGTCGTGAGCCGGTGGGAAAGTGAGGTCAGCTTCCTTGCACAGGCCAGTGGGTGGGCCAGGGCGCCAGGGGCTCTCTCCCTTCTCAGGGCTTTGGGCCGTCCCTGGGCTCCTGCGCCTCCCTCACCTTGGGCATTGGCCTCCTTGAGTCTGAGGCTGGGTACACAGGAGTCCGCGGCTACTCTTCTCTGTTTGTATGTTTGAAATGTTCCATAAGAAAGTTTCACGAAGTTAAAAATAGTCCCCACATGCCTGAAGTTTGGATAGAATTTTTTTTTTCTCATCAGAGCTCACATTTAGCAAGCGCACCTGACTTCAGGGGCTTTGCCTGGAAGCTGTGTGGTGGGCGCCGTCACCATCCTCGTTCTACTGATGAAGCACTGAAGCTCGGAGAGGGGCGGCGTCCTGCCGAGGTCACGCCGCTGTGGTTCCCGGGTGTCTATCTGGGCTCAGGTGGTCTGACCCAGATCCCTTCCCTGAGTCCCAAGGGCCCTTCCCCGTCAAGGAAGGAGTGGAGACCACCCGCTCCCTTCTGAGATGGGCCCCGCCCATGGGTGGGGGGGGGCGCAATCAGCCCAAAGTCCACCTGCAGCAACCAGGGCGGGGTGCCAGTGCCGAGAGGTCCTTCCCTTGGGGTGAGAGCTCTCTGGGGAGGGACAACCTGGGGTCATGAAGACACTGGGGGCCCTGGCCAGGCCTGTGTGGGGTCGGGGGGCTGGGGAACCCTGGTTCTAGCTCACACCACTCAGCACACTTAATTGTATCCCAAGGGAAGGGTTGAAAAATGTCCTGAATGAATTATTTCTGCTCCAAAAACCCAAACTGGTGGATGTCTGCTCTCAACAGCCCATTCATGGGTCTCTTCCCACGGGGTGTGAGAAAAGATTTCTCAGCACAGCCCTGGCAGCGTCTCGGGGGGCGGAGGGGGGTGTCCGTGAGGAGGCATGGCTTCTCAAGGCAACCAGCCCAGGCCTTCCTCCCATGCCCACCACTAGGACTGGACGGCAGGGCCTGCCCCTGAAATGGCTGTGCCGATGGCAGGGGCAGCCTGGTGAGGGCAGATAGTCATGTTTGTCAATGGCTTAGACCTCATCTCTGCTGAAGGCCTCTGGGGGGAGGGAGAAGAAGCAAGAGACTGAGTTCTCATCCCCTCATGTACCCTCTGTTCCGTCCATCCATCCATCCATCCATCCCTGCACCTATCTCTTCTCCACAGTCTGCTAGTGTCCACTGCCCCTTTCATACGGTTACCCACCCACACATCCATGAACTCACTCATCTATCCTTCCTCCCATCTTTCGAACATCTACCCAGTCACCCTTCCACCCACCGATCCAACCACTCATCTATCCACCCCTACAACATCCCACACCACACATACCATTCACCCACCCATCCACACACCCTCCCATCCATGTATCCATCCATCCCCACCCGCCCCCAGCCATCAATCTCCCATGTCCACTCCCCCATAAACCCACCTGCGTATCCAACTACCCAAGCATCTATCTCCCCCCTGCCCCACCCCCCATTAGAGGAGCATCTATTTATCCAGCCCGTCAGCCAGCGTCTCCTCTCCCTGCTTCTACGCCTGCCCCACCTGACCAATCCCATCACTGATGGATTGGTGCCCTGTTTCCTGCTGCATCCTAACCACGCATCTCGACTCCCAGAGGGACCGGGGGTGCAGAGATCACTTCCTCTCACCAAGTGCTTGAACAGCCAAGTCACTTGCCTGCTTTGCGAAGCGCCCCGGGCAGGGCTCCCCGCTCTGAGCTAACTTTGGGAGCAGGCTCCCCCACGCCCAGCCGCCTCCGCAGTTTTCCTTTGCTCCACATGCAGCTGCCTCTGCCGTGTCCAGGCCCACCGTGGGGCACAGCGCCAGCTACCAGCTTGCCATGGTCAGTCTCCTCTCAGGGCAACGGATATGCACTGACCCTAACGTTCCCTCCTTCCAGGTGAGACACGCCAGTGCGCCACAGAGCCGCTAAAGGTGCCGCTAAACCTGCCCCTAATGAAGGTGCCTGGAGGCCCCCCCCCTTTGTATCCATAATCCTGGGGGGTTTCTGTCCTCCTGTTACCATAGAAAAGAGGCTGGAGACTCTGAATGTCTTTCCCAGAGTAACCCAGTTGGGAGCGCTGGGCCGGTCACGGTGGCAGAGGCACCCGATGCCCAGTACACTGGCTGCCTCCCAGACCCTGGGGTGCAAGGGCGGCCCAGACTCTGGGGTCTGGTGGGAGCCACAGAAGCCTCCTCTCCTCCTGCCCGTCCTGCAGGACCTACAACCACCCCAGAGGCCGGAGCCCCAGGATAACACAGCCGCCGTGGCTGTTACCTCCCATTGCTGTGAGCTTGTCCTGCAGAGCCCTTTCCCTGGCCTGGTGGGCGGGGCCTGGTCCAGGGGGCTGACTGCCCGCCAGTCCTGGTGTGGCCCCAGGACAGGAGGGGGAGGCCTGTGGCCCGAGGCCCAGACCAACGGCTGCCAGACCAACGGCCTGACCAGCAACCACAGAGCGGAGGGTCTCCCCTCGCCTGCCATTGGTGACAGTGAGAACAAGGCAGGAGAGGGACAGGATGGAGGCCTGGATTCTCTGCCAACTCCCAGAGAGGGGCTGATGCTCGGGGGCTGAGTGAGCAGGTGGGGGCAGGCTCCGGGCGGGTGAGGGTGCGGGCGGGGAAGGGCTCCAGCTCGCCCACCTCGTCACAGCGGGCGAGGCGGCCCACCACGTCCTCCAGGAGCCCGACGGCCGCCTCCTCCTGGAAGTCCCGCCGGAAGGTCTCCGTCCACTCGGCCAGCAGCCGGAGCAGTTTGGGGCCAAACTTCCGGACCCGGGCCTGCAACAGGAGATCCCCGGAGCTGATGTTGGGGATCGCTTCCTGGGAGGGGGCAAGGCAAGGTGCCGGGCACCCACACCCGGTGAGGGGTGTTGGGCCTGCACGGGCAGCGCCCCAGCCACTCGGCCTGATGGGCTGCCTGGGCACAGTGTGGCTGCCCGGGGGGGGGGGGGGGGGGGGGGGGGGGGGCCGGGGGGCTCCAAGTGCCTTCCCGGGCCAGCTGCGGGGAGGGGGCTGCCCCCCCCAAGCAGAGGGGCACACATGGGGAGCGGTCATCTGTTTTGCCAGGCGTTCATCCCCTTTTTGTGGTGATGCATCTGAGTTGCCTTTGGAGTCTCCCTGTTCCCAGTCAGTGGGGTTCAGACTGCGGAGCCCCCCAGTAGTGGGCGCAGACCAGTGCTGGCCAATCAGGCCAGGGCACCCCTCAGCCTGCACAGCGGGTGACTCACAGGCGGTCATGTGCCCCAGGCTAAGCCAATAGGATCAGGACTGTCACGGGCCCTATTGCGGGTCAGGCGGTGAGCCTGGAGCACAGGGGCAGGTCAGCTGGCGGGTCGGACCTGCTGGAGCAGGAGTGAGGGGCCCGGAAACGAAGCAGAGGCTGGAGGGGGAGAAGGACGGTGCGTGAAGGAGGCCATGTGCACCCCTGCGGCCAGCGGGACATGAGCTTTTGCATTTACAGGCGCCTTTGCCTTAGGCCAGTTGTGGTTGGGTTTCCATCACTGCAGCCTGACACCTGCACGAACAGTCACAGGCCGTGGGGCCAGGGACGAGGCCCAGGGAAGGCTGGCCCACAGAGGAGGGGCGGGGAGGGGGGTGTGCTGGGGGCAGCAAGTCCTATTGACAGGCTCTGGGCCCGGGTCTGGGCTTGGTGTGAGCTCCAGGCTGGAAGGCAGTCCCCTGGGTGGGAGATGCCAAGCCTTCCCTCTGGCTCCGCACCTCAGGCCAGCAGACCCTCCTGTGGGCTCCTCAGGGGAAGGGGGACAATGGCTCCCTCTCCCAGGGCCGATGCGGGAGGGCCTGCAGGGCAGTGCCAGGACAGCCAGAGGCCCTCACCTTGTCCAGCCCTGGCTCGTCCAGCTGCTGCTGCTCGATGCACAGCTGGCAGACCCGGGCCAGCAGCTCCCGGGGCTCGATGAAGAGGCGGGAGCTCAGCAGGAAGGTGAAGATGTAGGCTTTCTGGGGACATGGGACAGGCGGTCTGTGTTCACCTGCTTCTCAGCCCGCACTCCGCCCCGCCCCCGGCCCCAGGCCCCAAACCAGTACCAGCCCCGGGTCTCCCCACGCCTGGTGGAGGAGCGCTCATTCTGCTCCGTCCCCGCCCTCCCCCCCCACCCCCCGCCCACCGGCCACCCACCTCAGGGCAGTAGTCGGCCGTGGGCACCAACTGCTGGATCATGGGTGTCCAGGGGGCTGAGGAAGGAGCCCCGCCCAGGACAGGCTGCTCGGCCTGCTCACTGCCCCTGGGCTCAGTGCGGGGTGGGCGAGGGCTGCCGGGGACGGCCATGTCCGAGGCACGCAGTGTCCGGGGCATGCCTGCCTGCAATGCAAGGAGCTGAGGGGCACACCTAAGCTGGGCCTGCTGGCCCCCTGGCTCCTGGCTGGACAGGCCCTGACTCCACTGGCACTTCTGTGCCCACCTGTGCCCAGTGGTCACTTGCTGGGAGGGCTGCCAGGGGCCCCCAGCCCACGGGACAGCACCCCCAGCAGCCAGTTCTTCCCACTCTCATCTGAGCGACGTAGGGACTGCATCCCCAGTGAAGGGAGTTTGGGACAAGGCCCAGGCAATCAGCAGATCCCTCACCCCCGGCCACAAAGATGGGGCCAGGATGAGTCTGATCTAAACTGGGGCCTCAGGTGCAACCCCAGAATTCTGTGGCCCTTGGGAGCTCTTTGGCCCAGGGTCCCTGAGCTGGTGGAATGTCACTGTTGGGATCATCCACCCCCACAAGCAGCCAGGAAAGTGAGCACATTTCCGGGGTCAGCGTGCGAGGCCCTGGGTCCTGCTGGGCTTGACTCTGCTCGTGAGCTTCTCCATCGTGAGCCCATTAAGCCGGTGTCTCCAGGGCAGCCAAACAGTGGCCCTTCGAAGCCTGGCACTCTGGGCTCTTCGTGGTGAGGCACCAATGACACCCAGCTGCTCCCTCCTCCATCCTCCTCCATCCTCCGGACCAAGGACACACACAGCTGCTCCCTCCTCCATCCTCCAGACCAATCACACATCCAGCTGCTCCCTCCTCCATCCTCTGGACCAATGACACCCAGCTGCTCCCTCCTCCATCCTCCGGACCAATGACACCCAGCTGCTCCCTCCTCCATCCTCCGGACACGGTGAACATCTCTTCTCTGGAGCCTTCCCCACTTCCCTGAAGTGACGCCACTCTCCCCCTTCCCGCTGAGACCAGGCCTGATGCTGGTCTCTTCTGGGGACGTCGTGAGCAAGGTCATGATTGAGTCGGGAAACAGGGTTCTCCACAGTCAGGTGCACTGGCGTGTGGACCAGGTGTGGGACATGCAGTGGAAGAGTGGTCAGAGGGAGTGGGCTGCTCTGTACTCCCCGCCCCTGAGCCCACGTGGCCTACCTCCAGCGATGAGGGGAAACTGAGAACTTCTGCGACTGACATGCATGTCCTCAGCTGAGCACGAGGGGAGAGGCCGTCATCGGCACGTGGCCATGACAAGCCAAGTACTGATGAGAAGCTGGACCATTTTAAGTGGAAAATGGGTTCTCCTAGGCACCTGCCCTCAGGTTGAGATGGCTTGATGGAGCTGGGGGTCTTGGCTGTGGGGGTCTCTGGAGTGACACGGCTGCAGGATGGCTCAGTTGCCCACCTGTCTGCAGGGCTGTCATCCTGGGATCACCTTTCACCATCTGCCAAGGACCCCTTGTCATCTCTCATGTTGGTCTCCTGCTTCCTGTCTCGTGTCATCTTCTTTCTTGCTTCATTCTTTAGTTTTGGTGGAGCACATCCTCCAGTAGCTTCTTGATACGGTGTGCTTAGGAAATAAAATTTTCGAGGCCTCACATGCCTGGAAATAGTCTCTTTACCATCACACTTGCTAATGTGATTGACAGTTCAGCAGGGTATAGAATTGTAAGTTAGAAATGATTTTTCTTCAGAATTTCAAAGGCATTGTTTTCTGTCTTCTTTCTGAACTTTGTAAAGTTGTTTTTCTCCCAGGAGGGTGGACCAACCATTCTGATTTGCCGAGGACTCTCCTGGTTTCAGCACTGAAAGTCCCAAGTCCCTCAAACTGAGATGGTTCATCCTCATCCCAAGTGACCTGGAATTTCACAATGATGTGCCTGGATATGGGCCTTTTCCTTCCCTGGTGTGGAGCACTCTGCAGCTAGAATCTCTGCCCCTCAGTGCCGGGAGGTGGTATTAAGTCATTTCACTGGGGACATCCTTCCCTTCTTTTACTGTTTGGAGCTCTCAGCTTTCATATTGGACCTTCTAAACTTGCCCTCCAATTTTTTATCCTTCATCTCCCATTTTCCATTTTAAAAATCCTTCTGCTCTACTTTCTGAAGGAGTTTTTTAGTTTCACCTTCCAAACCTCTATTGTCTGTTTCAGCTGTCAGCGAAGGCTACTGGGTCCAGTCAAGGCACCCGCCTCCTTCCATGTGCAGTTGGTCTTTGGAGCCTCCAGGCACCTGCCCATGTTGCTCTGTGAGCCAAACACCCTCGTCAGACTGCGCGAAGGGTGGGCTCTGTCCTGGGGAGGGCTCTGTCCTGGGGAGGGCATCCCCTGTGTTGGTGTCACACACTGGCCATCACTTCACCACCTGGGATCACTCTACCTAGCTCCCTGCAGCAGAACCTCCTGGGAAAGATGCCTGGGCTGCCCTCTCCCGGATTCCTATCCCAATACAGTTCCAGCGTCATCCCCCTCATCCATGTCAGCTTTGCTGGGGGGGGGGGGGGCGCGGACTGGCCTGTTATTTCAGATAAGCCATTATGCAATATACCTGCCACCAGGGATACAGTATAAGGGAAGCTTTTAAAACGTCTTTAAAGCTAACCTCTAGCTAGAAACCTAACCAGGGGAAAACCTGAGGATTAGACTACCTACTCCGGGAAGGGCCTCACACGAGCGTCACCATCCAACACCACAGGAGAACTTGCCTGTGAACACCAGGTGGATCTCATGCTGATTCATACACGCTTTCTCCAGATGGTCTCAGACATTTCCCTGCTGTGCTGACATTTAAGTGCATATTTATAGCATGTGTATTTACCGTATAGCACATGGTGGTGATGTTATGGAAATGCGTCAATAGACAGATGACAGAACATGCTGAAAGGCGTGTGCCCACAACTAGCCCTCCCCTGGAAGGTCAGGATACTGCAGGGAGAAGGCGCATCACTTAAGAGTTTCCAGTTTCCCCAGAAACACTCCCTTTTCCTCACTCGCACAGCCAGTCTGTGCTTAGAGCCCCAGGGAGGAGAGCAGAGGAAAAGGGGCTCTCTTCCAGGCCTTTGCATTTTATGCCTGGACACAGCAAGGCTCCTCCACAGCCTCAAATAAAAAGATGTCTCAGGCTTAGGGGAGGCGAAGGGGCAGCAAGGAGGGCTGGGGCTGGGAGAGGGCCCTCCCTTGGCCTTGCATTTTTTGGGAGGTGAAAACAGCCAGGTAGGTGAGGGGTCTCTGAAAGCAGAGGAACCTGAGCCAGTTTATAAGGGAGGTACCCCAGGGTGGTGAGGAGAAATGGCCGGGGGTGGGGACAGGGATCTGTCTCCAGCAGGTCCCAGACTGCCTGGTGTCATGATGATCAAGGGTGGCCAGGTGGGAATTGCCCAGAGACCCATGGGTGGAACTGGTTCACCAGTGTGGACCAGATGAACCATGGGCATCACTGTGGGAGCCTGGGCTGCCTGATCCTAGATCCCCACACCCAGTACCTTGTTTGTAGCCCTGCAAGGGACTGGGGGCAGATGTACATACTGACCGCAATCTGGAATCTGAGAAGGGTGAGGACTAACCAGGGCTGTAAAGAACAGCTGGAGGGCAAGAGAGGTGAACCAGGTATAGTCTCACCTCCTCCACATCAGTCTGCTCCTGGAACACGTGTCTTGTGCCTGCATTTGCAGGTCTCTCTGCCAGGAGCACCCTTCCTTCACTTCACCTGGCTGACTTCCCCTCACTCGGAGCTCACTGGGATGCCATGCCAAGAAACGACTTCTGTGATATTGTGATTTATAATAAGTATATTCATCTGCTATTCTGGCACAGAGACCCTAAAACCTTTGACATTTCCTAAATGATAGGAGTGATAGATTATAAAGAACCAAGATGGTGGCATAGGTAAACACCTATACTCACCACCTCCCACAACCACATTAAAATTACAACTAAAATACAGGACAACCATCATCCAGAACTGCCTGAAAGCTGGCTGAATGGAAGGCCTACAGCTAGAGAAGTAAAGAAGGAAGCACACTGAGACTGGTAGGAGGGGCGGAGGCAAAGAATGGCTGGTCTGATACCCATGTGCAGCATTTTTATAATCAGGAGGGATATCTTCAAGGCCTCCTGTGAGAATCATGGGGTCCCAGCCACACACCAGCCCCCCAGCCCAGGGTTCCAGAGCTGGGAAGAGAAGTCCCCATAACTTTGGGCTGTAAAAACCAGTGTTGTGGCTGAGTAACACAGAGGCTGCTGGAGTCCCAGGTATTCCTCTTAAAGGGCCTGTGCATAAACTTTCATGTTCTCACTTTTTCTGAGCTCCAGTGCCAAGCTGTGGCTTTGGGGGGATCCAGGGACATATGGGGAAGAACTGAACTATCCAACATCAGGGCAGGAACTTGGGGGCGGCTTTCTCCCAGACAAGGATGCTTGCAGGGGTCATTGTTCCTGTGCTGGGACCTCCCCCGTTGCAGAGCTGACTGGCAGCCATATCTTATTTTCCATCAGCATGGCCCACACTGTTCCCTGTGCCCTGGTGATTCCCCATCCAATTTACAGCCTCATCCAAGCTGTTTGCAGCTGCTTTTTCATATTAATGGCCTGTCTGAGCTCATACTTCAGACTTTGCTAAAATCTCTTAAACAAACAGCATCTGGAGTCAGTGTGCCCCAAACCTATCAATAAAAGACCTGGCACTAGCACCAGCCTGCCTGCTTCACAGCTGGGCCTCCTCTGGGTACTTCACCAGTGCAATACAAGTAGCAGCCATCTGCAGATCTCTCTATAGCTCCTGCCGGGTGGCCCCAGGCAGTGGCTGACTTTGCACCTCCCTGGAGGCCTTAGAGCCAGTGTACCTCATGGATAGCTTCATACCAAACCAGATTATAATTCTACACATCCACAAGCAACACACTCAAGGGGCAGACTCAGTGAGCACCAAAGTCACATTGAAGCAATTCCTGCTCCATAGGAATGTCTCCTGCACAGCAGCTCCTCCACTGTAGCTGTAGCTGGTCCTCACAGCCAATTGGCCTGGAGCTAAATTCCTTCCAGTGACACCAACACCAATCAAGGCTCAACAACAACAAGACTGGACACAGCCCACACAGGGGCACATCTAGA